AAACCAACACAAGGAAAGAAACAAACATCAGAACTGAAATGATGAAACAGATGAACACAACACTACAAGGGATCAATAAAACAAAAAGCTGCTTCTTAGAAAATACTGAAAACCTCTTATCCAAAAAAACCTGAGAGAGAAAATGCCTTAACCAATGCAATCAGGAAAGGAAATAGAGTTGGGAAAACAGAAAGGAATGAAAGACAGACCATCATTAGCACCTATTTTCAAAATCTATCATGTTTTACTAGGTGCTGCCAATCACACCCAGGACCTGGAGTGCACTACCCACATATCTGCCCTTCATCACACCTCACCCCAGAACAGGCAGATCTGCTACCAGGAAGAAGGTCGAGTCCTGTTCTGTACAGCACTCTGAGTTTCTTCTGGAGATGCGCTTAGAGGGGTGGCACCAGAACTCACCAAGAGGGCAGTGGGGGCAGTGCCTACACCTGCAGGACCCTGGAGGCTGATGCCAGGGGCATAGGACCCGCTTTCTGCAGGAAGAACCCACTTCTATAATCCCCCCTCACCAGAGAGGACACGCAGCATACAGCCATTAACACTTATAAACACAATCCGCCCTTATCAGAGAGGACACAGTATACAGCCATGAACACTAATAATGCAACCAAGGAAAAGACATGAATCAGACCGAGAGATAGATACACACTCTAGTAATCACCATGGGCTGATGTGTGCTGTGTTTCAAATGACTAGGAAAGTGCCTTGATTTGGTTCTTTGCAAACAATATGCCTCCAAAGGTAGGAAACACAAACGCAAGACAAGGAGTCCTTGCTGCTGTTTAATGGGATGGCACTGTACCTGCCCTAGTACTGAGTTCCTGAATGCTGTGCCCTGAAATCCGCAATACAACACAGACAAGGCTGAGAAAGCCACCTGGTCCCACCAAGGGCAACACTTCTGCTCTCTGCAGTTAGGCACCACTGGCCAGTGAGAGGACTCAAACTCCCAGCAGCCAAGCCCATGCAGAGGGCCTCCTGCGGCAAAGAAAGGCATGTTACAGACCTCAGGTGACACCAATAACCAGAGACTGGAGGGAGACCAGGCTTTCAAGGGCTCCACTGCTCCAGAAACTGACAAACTCACCAAGAGGCCTGGAAAGCGCCTCCCTCGTGTCTTTTAAGACCTCTGGAAGATATGCCTGGTACCATTCAGGAGAACCTGCACAGACCACAGAACCTGCCTCGAGGATCAGCAACTGGGCAGCAGCTGCTCCCAGGCATGAGCCCCCTGGGGAAGGCACCCAGCTCAGTGAAACCCAACCTGCACGGCAGACACATGGTGAACACTAGAAAGCACAAGGCACAAAGGGATGTTTGGAGTTATTTTAAAAATCTCAATATCACTTAATGAAAATCTGACAATTCAGAAAAACCAGTGTTCATGGTAACTAAACTTGCACAGGGCAGCGGGTTGCAGGTCACCTCTAGTACAAGAGGACACTGGTCCGCCTCAGTCCCCTTAGGAGCAGCATCAACCTCCACACTCACTGGAGATTCCTATTCCGACCCCACCAGGATCTCTAGCTTCCACTCCGGCCTACAGTCCCTCTCCTGAGCATAGCCCCCTCTCACCTCTGCCTCTCCCTGGATCCACTTACCCTTCCTCTGCTTGGGGCTCCCTAGTGACCAGGGACAAAGGGCAAACATTCCATGTCCCTTTAAAGGGCCGGTGACCACTCAAACCTGGGTGTCCACTCTGCCCGCCTCACAAAGGCAGCTCAGTCACATAAGCACCTCCATGTTGTCATGGCCAAAGCCCCTTGCTCCAGTCACCTAGGGGGGATGTCAAGGCCTGAGAGAAACAGGAACAAACTAAAGCCGAAACCAACACAAGGAAAGAAACAAACATGAGAACTGAAATGATGAAATAGATCACCACAACACTACAAATGATCAATAAAAGAAAAAGCTATCTCTGAGAAAACCTCAAAAAATAAAAGAGAAAAGAGAAAATGCCTCAACCAATGCAATTAGAAAGGAAAAGAGCAGTGGAAAAAGAGACACAAGTGAAAGACAGACGAACTTTAGCACCTATTTTCAAAACCTATTTTCAAAAATGAGCAACTAGAAAAGATTTACAGATAAGTGCATATAAGGTACCAAAATGAGGGAAAGAGTATACAAAATTTATAAATTCCCACGGGAATTTATAAATAATAGTGATGGGATAGTTAAAGAAGAATTAACAACTGCTCTCCAAGTGATTCCATGAAATGGAAAATAAGGATACTTCCAAATCAATTCTATGAGGCCAATATAACACCCTGGTACTAAAAATGGACAAGGACATAAGAAATAAGAAACCTATGCACCAACATCTTTATGAACATCCTGTAAAAATCCCTGATAAGATGCTTGCAAACTGAATTCACCAACACATTGAAGAGGCCATGCAGTACAATCAAGCTGTTTTCAACCCACAGATGCAAGAATG